TACCGACCGCCGGGCAGAAAGGCACGAATATGCCTTTTCTGCAGGGGAAAAAGAAGTCTTTTAACATGGGGCCATAATCCAAAGGCAACAGGCGAGCAACCAGGCTTCTCCAATGCAATGTGGCGAGATTGGTCTCGTCACACAAACTAACAATGTATCCACCTAAAGACCCTCCCTCCCCCTTCCCTCTTAAATAGGAATGTCCTCTGAGTGTTGATCGGAGCGCTCACACAATGTTTCCTTAATCTCCACGATGATTTGCTGTGCATAGATGTTCCTTCAGCTGTTCTAATTTCTTTGTTTTTCATATTTCCTGCGCTGTTGTTCCGCGTAGATGACGTCATCTTCTACGCACGCACATGCGTGCGCCCCACCGACGTCAATGACATCAGTGGAACGCACACGCAAATGCTGCATGCATATGTGCGATCCTGTTGAGAAATTATACAAGGCTTGCGTAGCATAATATGTATAGGCATAGCATGCAAGAGTAGATCTTTATAAAAGATTGAAGACTAAAATCATCATAAGCTATTTAAATTACTTCCATTGCTGGCTTATCAACAAATACTATCTTAGCCTTAGGACTAGAGTTGAGCGGACACCTGGATGTTCGGGTTCAGACGAACTTTGAAAAAAAGTCCGGGATCGAACTTGACCCCGAACCCCATTGAAGTCAACGGGGACCCAAACTTTTGGCCACAAAAATGCCTCTAAAAAACTCCTGGAAAGGGCTAGAGAGCTGCAAAAGGAAGTAAAATGGGGAGAAGAGTAGGACAAGTGCCCTGCACACATATGTGACTAGGGAAATCACTTAAAATAACATAAAAATTAAAAATACAGCTGAGCCATAAAATAGCACTAGATTGAATCTTTGAATTTAGCTTTGGAAGAACATAAATCAAAATCTAAAGCATGGCTGTCAGGTAGATCAACAGAATTATCGATTTGAGAGAGGGTTGGAGTGCTGGGTATTCTCTTTCATTGTTTAAACTGAGCTCAACTCCTGATGCATGGAGAAAAGGCCTTCACAAGCCTCTGCTCATGTGTACCTAGTTTATACTAAGTGACCCATAGGTTGAGGAGGTGGTGACCGTGGCGGTGTAGGTGGAAGCAGCGGTGGAGGAGGAGGAGGTGGTAGCCAACATTGTTTTTTATTTTTTTATTTTTTTTAGATCTGGTAGCCCCCAAAATATTTGGACATATAAAAAACAAAAACAAAGAATAAGTGCACTCGAGTATAACAATGGCTTGGTGAGGCCGGTATAAATGTCTATTCTGCACAAGGTACAAACAATTCTGGTGGGATCCATGCCTGGTTCATTTTAATAAGCGTGAACTTGTCCACGTTGGCTATGGACAGGCCGCTGCGCTTGTCTGTGATAATGCCCTCTGCCGTGCTAAACACACGTTCAGACAATACACTGGCTGCAGGGCAGGCCAGCACCTCCAAGGCATAAAGGGCAAGCTCAGGCCATGTGCCCAATTTGGAGACACAGAAGTTGAATGGTGCAGACCCATCAGTCATTACGTGTAGGCGTGTGCACATGTTGCTGAAATGCTGCCTCCTGCTAAGATGTTCCATATCAGATGGTGGTGCTGGTTGTTTTGGCGTGCTGACAAAGCTTTTCCACATTTCGACCATGCTAATCCTGCCTTATGAGGTGCTGGCGGTGCCCCAGCTGCGTAGGTGACCTCTTCCTCCTTCTCTGCCTTTGCCTTGTGCTTCCGCTGAGCCCCCGGTGTCAGTTGGGAATGCCCTCAGCAGCACGTCTACCAGCATGCACTTGTAGTCGCGCATCTTCCAATCACGCTCCAGTGAGGGAATTAAGGACGGCATGTTGTCCTTGTAATGGGGATCCAGCAGGGTGGCCACCCAGTAATCAGAACAAGTTAGAATGTGGGCAACTCGGAAGTCGTTGCACAGGCACTGCAGCATGGAGTCACTCATTTGTGCCAGGCTGCCCAGAGGCAAGGACAAGCTGTTCTCTGTGGAAGGTGTATCGTCTGTGTCCTCCGTATCCCCCCAGCCACACTCCAGTGATGCACACGAGCTGCGTTGGGTGTCACCCTGCTGTGAACACGGTTCTCCTCATCCTCATCATCCTCCTCCTCATCCTCCAGAACTGTGCCCTGGCTGGACAATTGTGTACCTGGCCTATGCTGGTGCAGGAACCCACCCTCCAAGCCACTTGTGAATGATGGCCTGATAACCGTGGAAATGACCCCTCCTCCTTCTCCTCTTCCTCCTGTGCCACATCCTCTTCAATCATCACCCGCAGAGTTTTTTCAAGGAGACATAGAAGCGGGATAGTAAGGCTGAGAATGGCATCGTCGGCACTGGCCATGTTGGTGGAGTACTCGAAACAGTGCAAAATGGCACACAGGTCTCGCATGGAGGCCCACTCATTGGTGGTGAAGTGGTGCTGTTCCGCAGAGCGACTGACCCGTTCGTGCTGCATCTGAAACTCCACTATCACCAGCTGCTGGCTCACACAGTCTCTCTAGCATGTGCAAGGTGGAGTTCCACCTTGTGGGCATGTCGCATATGAAGCGGTGAGTGGGAAGGCCGAAGTTACGCTGCAGCACAGACAGGCGAGCAGCAGCAGGGTGAGAACGCCGAAAGCGCGCACAGATGGCCCGCACTTTCTGCAGCAGCTCTGATATATCTGGGTAGTTTTTCAGGACTTTCTGCACTACCAAATTCAGCACATGCGCCAGGCAAGGGATGTACAGCAAACCGGCTAGACCCAGAGCTGCTACGAAATTTCGCCCATTATCGCACGCCACCAGGCCGGGCTTGAGGCTTAGGGGCAACAACCACTCATCGGTCTGTTGTTCTATGCCCGTCCACAGCTCCTGGATGGTGTGGGGTTTCCCCCAAAAAATATCAGTTTTAAAACAGCCTGCTGTCGTTTCCCCCTGGCTGGGCTGAAGTTGGTGGTGAAGTTGTTACGCTACCTGGATGAGGTGGTGTTAGAGGAGGAGGAAGTGGAGTAGGAGGAGGAGGCAACAGGAGGCAAAGAGAAATGCCCTGCAATCCTCGGTGGCGGAAGGACATGCGCCCAGCTGCCACTGCATTTGCCCAGTGTGCAGTTAGGGAGATATAGCGTCCCTGCCCGTGCTTACTGGTCTACGTATCTGTGGTTATGTGGACTTTGCCACTGATGGAGTTGCGCAGTGCACACCTGATTTTGTCCGCCAATTGGTTGTGCGGGAGGGAAGGGATGGCTCGCCTGGAGAAGTAGTGGTGGCTGGGAACCACGTACTGTGGGACAGCCACCGCCAACAGGTTTTTAAAACTGTCCGTCTCCACCAGACGGAATGACAGCATTTCAAAGGTCACGAATTTTGAAATGCTGGCATTCAGGGCCAGGGATTGTGGGTGGGTAGGGGCGTACTTGGGGACGGTTTGCGGGGTGGCAGGTACCACTGTCACTCCAGAGATGGAGGAAGAGGCCGAGACAGCAGCAGATGAGGAAGCAGGAGGAGTCTGAGACCTTTCTTGGTTTTTGATGTGCTTACTCCATTGCAGCTCATGCTTTGCATGTAGATGCCTGATCATGCAGGTTGCGCTCAGGTTTAGCACGTTTATGCCTCGCTTCAGGCTCTGATTGCACAGCGTGCAAACCACTCGTGTCTTGTCGTCAGCACATTGTCTGAAGAACTTCCACGCCAGAGAACTCCCTGGAGCTGGCTTTGGTGTGCTCGGTCCCTGGGTGCGGTGGGCAGTAACAGGCGTACCGTCTAGGGGATGGCCCCTCTACTTTTGCACCCTGCTCCCTCTTATGCTGTGCTGGTGCCTCTGTGCGACCACCACCTCTTCCTCCAAACTGGACACGTCACTCGCATGACCTTGATTCCATGTGGGGTCTAGGACCTCATCATCCTCCACATCATCTTCCACCCACTCCTCAACCCTGGCCTCCTTGCCAGTCTGCACACTGCCAAAAGCAACAGCAGTTGGAACCTGTGTTTCGTCATCAGAGACATGCTGCAGTGGTCCTTGCATGTCCACATCCTCACACATAAGTGGTTGTGCATCAGTGCACTCAATCCCTTCCACTTCTGGGGCAGGGCTAGGTGGATGGCCCATGAAAACCCCACCAGCAGAGTCATCAAAAAGCATAAGAGACTGCTGCATGACTTGTGGCTCAGACTGCTTGGGTGATTTGCAAGGGGGTGAGGTGATAGGCAGATGGCCATGGGCTGCAGGTGCCAACTCTGTGTTTTCACCAGGGCACCGGGTGGGAAACAATGTGCAGGAACTGGAGGCACTGTCAGCCATACAATCTACTATCGCCTGTACTTGTTCTGGCCTCACCATTCATAGAGCGGTATTCGGGCCTACCAAATAACGCTGAAGGTTCTGTCGCATACTGGCACATGAGGAAGGTGTTTCACTTGTGCGTATAGCTGGCACAGATCGACCACATCCTCTCCTTGCAACAGGGATTCCACCAATACCAGAAGCACCACGACCAGGGCCACGTCCCTTATTTGACGCTCTCCTCATTATTTGCATTCACCCACCAAACTAAAAGATGTTTTATGTCAGGCGACAGTGTAACCGCCAACAGTCAACAATTTTACATTTTTTTTAGTTTATTGGACTGCAAGAAATGCACCGCAGGCCGCAAATGTACTATTTAGCACAGAAAAAAAATTGAATTTTTACAAGTGCGCTGTAACCGCACTATTAGACGCTTCTATTTGGCTCTCAGATATGAAGACCAGGCCACAAAATGTACTATTTAGCAGGTTAGCACCAAATAATTAGAATTTTTACAATTGCGCTGTAACCACACTATTAGATGCTTCTATTTGACTCTGAGATATGAAGTGCAGTCCGCAAATGTACTATTTAGCAGATTAGCACCCAGAAAATTAGAATTCTTACATATTAGAATTCTTCATATCTGAGCTTCTATTTGACTCTCAGATATGAAGAGCAGGCCACAAACTGTACTATTTAGCAGATTAGCACCCAGAAAATAAGAATGTTTACCACTGCGCTGTAAGCACACTATTATACACTTCTATTTGACTCTCAGATATGAAGTGCACGCCCCAAAATGTACTATTTAGCAGATTAGCACCCAGAGAATAAGAATGTTTACCACTATGCTGTAAGCACACTATTAGATGCTTCTATTTGACTCTCAGGTATGAAGTGCAGTCCGCAAATGTACTATTTAGCAGATTAGCACCCAGAAAATAGGAATGTTTACCACTGCGCTGTAAACACAGTATTTGACGCTTCTATTTGACTCTCAGATATGAAGACCAGGCCACAAAATGTACTATTTAGCAGTTTAGCACCAAAACAATTAGAATGTTTACAACTGCGCTGTAACCGCACTATTAGACGCTTCTATTTGACTCTCAGATATGAAGTGCACCCCACTAAAATACTATTTAGCAGTTTAGGACCCAAATAATTTTAAGTTTTAAAACTGCCATGTGACAGCAGTATTTGACGATTCTATTTGACTCTCAGATATGAAGTGCACCCCACTAATATACCACCCCACTAATGTATTATTTAGCATAAAAAAAGCTTCTATTTGAATCTTAGATATGAAGTGCACCCCACCCCACTAATGTTCTAGTTTGCATAATTCTTTCCTAAGCTGTTCCTATCAGCGGCAGCATCCTCTCCCTACACTAATAAGACCGCATGTGCGTGTGGCACTACGCGATTCCAGCTTATTTATAGAGGCTGGGTCACATGCTATGATGGCATGGCTGTGATGGCTTCTAAGGGCACACGAGTCAAAGCTTGTTGATTGGCTACCCTGCAGCCTTTGAAAACGCGCCATTAAAATGCCGAACACCGAACTCCAACCCGAACATACAGTGATATAAAATAGAATATAAGAAATAAATATAAAAAATAAAAAATACATGAAATATAAAAAATAAATAATAAAAATAAGAAATAATAAATAAAAAATAAAATAAGAAATAAAAATAAAATATAAAAAGTAAAAATAAGAATAAAAAGTGAAAAGTATTAAAATATAAAATAGAAATAAAAATAAAGATAATAAGAAAATTAATATAGAAGTAAAAATCAAAAATGGAAAAAAAGAATATATGAACAAATGTGTAAAAGTGTAAGCAAATACTAATATATAGAGAGAGATGGAGTTGTGTCTGTCTAAACAGTCATGAAAATAGTACAAACAAAAGATGAAAACATAATTTACATGAAACATACCAGGTCTATGTCTGAATTTAATCCACTCGGTTCCAGCATCTGCATTCTATAAATCCAATACGTTTCTCTTTGCGATAATTTCTTTATACGATCGCACCCTCTCCAATGTGCCCATACATTTAAAATCCCTAAATGAATTGCAGTGAACTAGAACCGAGTGGGTTTTAAGACCTTTTTTGATGATGTTGATGTGTTCCAAAATTCTCACCTTTAAAAGTCTCTTAGTGCGTCCTATATACTGCCTGCCGCACGGACACTGCAATAGATATTTCACAAAATCCGTGCGGCAACCAATATCTGATTTAACTGAAAAGGTCTCTTTAGTGGTAGTAATCTCAAAGTTAGTGGTCTTAAGCATCTAAACTGTATTACAAGCCTTACAGTCCCGACATCCTCTAAATCCATTGGGAGTAGTAGAACTATTCCTCAATGTCTCTTTAATATAGCTAGGGGCAATCATGTTTTTGAGATTTTGATTTTTTCTATATAGATCATCTGAGGATGTCTCGAGACAATAGAGCCCATCATTGGGTCATTTAGCAGAATACCCAAAAGAACACAATTGACTTTGAAGTGATCTCACTTCCCAGATTTTCAGTCTGAGTGCAGTGCTATGTTAGTATCTATTAACACCTCCAGTGAAGTTCAGGTGAAATAGGGACACACTTACTCCTATACGGTATGTTCTTAGGGGGTTTACATATAAAGAAATATAAACAGAAAGAACACAGTACAGGGAAATGGGTGTTAGTCAGGTAAGTGGAGATACACTCAAGTTTTTTAGAGCCTTTTATGTTATAGGCTCTAAACTTTATCGTGTCCTGGTCTTTAAGGTAGACAATGTGGACCCCTCTTATGGTTTCCTTTCAATTATTCTCCACGTTGTACATGGTGAATAGAAAAGTAAACAGAAGGATCTGGGTGTGTCACATTAAGATATATATCATATAATGTAGATATAAAAAAAAGTGAGTGCTCACCAAATTAGAGCCTTTTATAAACTGTCTCTAAGTCTCCTTGCCTGGTGTCAGATTTCAGGGTGACATCTCCCTTATTGGAACCAGGTATGATATGTAGATGGTATGCTTCAGCAAGAATTTATTATATATCAATTAAAAAATAATTAAATACACTATCCATATGAAAAATAAAAAATGTATATAAACAAATGTAAAATATACAGCTTGCTCCTCTCGTCAAGACGCATTTCGCCCGTAAATAACCAGCTTCCTCAGTTGGCATATCCGTCCATTACATCTTCTCCTGGTTTTATGGCATCTAAAATTACCGCCATTTTGCTTCATTCAATTGTCATGTCCTTTGCCATCGCGTCACTTTCGGTGTTCGTCGAAACTCCAAGACTCAGCATGCAATGTGTTTCTGTAGTTCTGTTTGTCGTTGTGTCACTTCCGGTATTCATCAGACCTCCAGATTCTGTCGTGTATTATTGTCGCATTCTTCAATAAACATCCATATAGTAAACTGAGTCTATATATTAGGAACTCAACGCAAAAATGTGCAAAAGGGGAGAATAAAGAGAGCTCCAATCAGTAGTAATATTATCCAAAACACCTTAAGATGTTTTGGATATTATTACTACTGATTGGAGCTCTCTTGTGACGGACCGCCTGGCAGACTGGGTGCCTCCGTCAATCGATGCTTTCTAGCTGATGCTGAAGACCATAAGCACCGCACTGTACACCGTAAGCACTGTAGACCCTACGAATTGCCAAAGCTTGGTTGGTGTCTCGCCGTCCTCCACCCACCCTGGACCTAAGACCAGGATCCAGCTTCCAGTGGATGGACCTCTCCTCCTCCAAAGAGTATAGCAGGTCTGCCTGTGTAGCTCTTAAAAGAACTAGTGATTATAGCCAGTATAGTAATCCAAAGAGCAATCCCACAAGCAGGGATTATAGGGTATTGAGGGTGAAGTAAGACTGGTTTAATGGTAGCCACACTGGTCTTTTATTCAAGTGCTCATATGGACCTTGTTGGGGACAGGGACACAAACTTACAAACCAATAAAAACACATTTACAATGTAAGGCACTCCCATACATAACATACAATCCCACCCCTCTGCCATGTAGATAATTGGATCAGTAACTGTACTAATTCTAATCCAATTATCTCCAAGCACAGAAAAAACATACTTTTTTAAAACACCCAAAAAGTACCCTAAAAATACATAATGTTACATCCCCTGATCTTGGTGACCAACATATCTAAAAATCACCCAGATCAGGGGTTCAGGAATTTCCTAGAAGTCTTATTTTTGACCGACCATGCACATGGTCCTATGTCCAAAACAGTTCCAGGGAATCAGGACTAACGGTCGGTCTCTCTGTCTGGAGTACAAAAGTACATAACTCACATGAACAAAGCCTTTTCAAAGTATTTAGCCAGGTCTATCGCAGGGGCCATAGTCACAGGATAAGAGGCTGGCCAGCAGGCTCCTCCAAGAACCAGTGGCGAGGTCACTTTCGTCACATATCAGTACACTAATTTTTACCTTACATTTTGGTATGTCTTATATACCTGAAGGCAGTGATGATGTATCACATCCCACCACCCAGGCAAGGTCCGGCACTCCTACCCGTAGGGTGGACACAGCTAGTCCACATCTTTTAGATCTTGGACTATCCCACAGATTACGACCGAGCTTTGCAAGAGAAACATACCTTATCCAGTTACGACTAGGAAAGCAGAACTGTATAAATTGTTGAACACTACAACTGATAACATCAGTGCTGGGGAAATGTCTACTGGTGGCCAGTAGTCTGACCTCCAGGCCATGATGGTGTCAGTCTTGTCCTCCATGGGACAGATTAACGATAGACTGGAATGCCTGGAATCTGGCAGCAGGGCCATGTCACCTACGGGACAAGCCACCACTGACCCAACAGGTCTTTCCCTCTCTAAACCGAGTAATTCCTTGCATGTACTAAAGGTTCCAAATCTTAAAAACCCACCCTTATGGTACCTGCTAATATCTTGGAGGGCAAGGATGTTAATTTTGTCTTATTTCTGATTGTCACCTGTAACAGACCAAGGGTAACCTGACCGGTTACCTCCGCTAATTCCTTCCCTCAGCCACTCTGGATCCACTTAAAGTATAAAGACACCCATTCCCCCAGTAACTGGACGAGACACAGCTCAGGGAGTACTGTCACGGGTGGCGGTCCAAAGACCGGCATCCCTGAGTGTATGATGATGATGAAGGGAGTCTCAGCGTGGAAATGGACCATCAGGGCCTGGTGCAGGGTATCAACACGCCCCCTGGTGTTGAGCACCAGCATTTGTGCGGCCACATACCAAGGCCCTGATGCAGCTACTGTGGATCCCAAGAGCTAGGAGCTTGATGATATGCAGACCTCCCAGGAACTGGATAGGGAGGCTCTGCAGCAGATATGTATCCAGTGCAGAAAGAAGGCAAGACTAGAATAGACATCAAACAAGAAAACAAGAAAAGACTAGAAGAACCCAGAACCAGAGAAGGGCAGAAATCAGAACCCAAAACATGTTCACAAGACATGAAGGAAACATGAACAGGGCAGGACAGGACAGGACTGCACATTAGACATGTGCAATTTGTTTCGGGCCACATATGTATTTGAACGAATTTCGGGCAATTCGGACATTCGGGTACTTCCGAATGTCCAAATAGCCGAAGTGCCGAATTACCGAGGTCCCGAAGTTCTGAAGCACAGTTTTGCCTAAGTACTAATATACTTACCCAGTGGAAGAAGAAGAATGTTACACTGTATACAATTTTAAATAAAAAGTATACAAACATAGCCAGGATTCAGCTGTAAGCATTTGCAACACTTACAACAATCAAGTAACATACATTCATATAAAATGTAAGTTACTTGGCCAGTCAATGTAATGACAGGGATGAATAAGTAGATAACTCCCTAATTCCCACGGTATTAGGGAGCTATCTACTAAAAGGCTGAAAGACCTAAATTGGTCTTTCAGCCAAATTTACTAATACTAAGTAAAGATTACTTAGTATTAGTAAATTATGCCCCTACTCGCGAGTAGGGGCATGTCTATTAAAAAAAAAAAAAAAACAACACGTCCC